TAAGGATTTCATAGAAAATCCATCAAACTGTCCTCAATTTGGCACACCGAGATTCTGGCTGGTCTCGCCCCGAAACACGGGTCATAACCACTCTTGTGTTTTTTTTTTCATTCTGTTGTCGTTTGTCCTCACTGCTGTGCCTCTTTCCACTTCTACCTCCTGCCTTATCGGCAGCATTTAAGGTGCCTTTTATCTGGGCTGTAAGGATGAGGTATTCTCACCCGCACCAGGAATAGCAAACCCATGGGAATGTCCTCCTTTTCCACGGTTATCACCTCTGCACAATTCATTCCCATCCTCCGTCAGCATTTGTTATTTTTGTGCCTTCTTGTTTCTTACGTCTTGTGTTTTGCACTTGCCCTGCTTTTTCTCATCTGCACAAGCTCAAACTGGCCGGCATGCATGCACGCACGCACGCACGCCCACACACACACACACACACACACACACACACACACACACACACACACACACACACACGCGTTGTAACACTCTGTGTCAGGAACACCTCGGCACAGACGGTGGTGAGCGTTCGTGCTTGTCATCAACAAACCCGACTGTTTCCAGAACACCACAACCTTCAACTTCTTGTCTTTGTGTCTATGTGTTTTTCTTACTCAGACGCTTGCCAGCAGTCATGTTTGGATACGTTGGACTACTTTCATACACACAGACATGGACCCATCCATCTGTTTTTGGGAGTTGGGGTTAATCTTTGTCTTTTAAGTTGTACTCCCATCTGAGTACTCGTATGTGTTTTAGAACCAAACCATGACAGCGCACCACTTTTTACTCTTCTCCAACTATCACACTTATGTTAGACCCTTCCATTATTGCCATCATGTGGAAGGGCTGTAACAATGCAAATAATGTATTATGATTTTATCCATCTATTTATTTCCCCCCATGTCAATCCCAAATCTAACAGGAATGCTATAAGTTTGTGATTGGATGGTCGGGGATGCAGAGGCAGAACTTTGGCCATCCAGCACACAGGCTTTGTACTGACAAGACACACAACAATGTTAAAAATAGATTACCGTATTTTCCGCACTAAAAGGCACACCTAAAAGCCTTCCATTTTCTTAAAAGCTCACAGCGCCTTAAAATCTGATGCGCCTTGTGTATGGTCATTACGGTAATATTTCGACCCCAAAATGGCTCCTTGCATGAGACATGCTGACAACGCAGAGTTCAAACTTAAGGCGATCAGTTACGCATTTGAACACGGAAATAGAGCAGTGGCAAGAGAGTTCGTTAACGAGTCAATGTTGTAACTTGCTGTTGGTTAAGTGAACTGTGTTGCTGCTTTATTAAAGAAGTTTTACTGACATGTTATCGTTCTGTTGTGGATGTACATCTAGTGGATGTATTGTAGATTGTGTCTTATAATGTGGTGCGTCCACTGTATGAAAATAATTACAAAATAGGCCATTCACTGAAGGTTCATCTCATAATCCAGTGCGCCTTTCAGGATGGAAAATACAGTAGCTTTTGGACTCAAACATACACAATGGTAGCACAGAATGTGCCTGCAGTGTGCACGATTTTGTTTGCTGTTATGTCTTATTTAACGAACGGGGTTAGTGACGTTGATCTTTCTGGAAATTACTATTAATCACAGATTTTGCGGATGGATGGATAATACTTTCTTCCTAGTTGCCAGGCTAAGTTGTGATGCTCTTTATGTAGCTGGCTATCGGCATCTGGCCTACACATCCCATCCTGTGGCCGGTTACCCTATTCTTTTACACTGACTGGATAAATAACTATAATATTTTGTCAAATTCAGTTCTATTCGATATACATGATTAATAAATTTTCATTGTGAAGGACCCTAGTGTAGGCAACGCAAACTACCATACTTTTCAGTATTGTCACAAGGGTACAGTTAGACGTAACTTGACGTGACTAATTACCATCAGGAACTCACTGTCTCATTTTTAATTGTGCTTTAACTGCATTCACGTCCTTGAAAAGGATCTTTTATGTAAGCTGTCAGTGAGGCATGATGCACTCGGAGCGTGAGAGTAGACCTGAGTGGCTTCCTTTCCGATGGCAGTTTTGCCTCTTGACGTCCTTTTGTGATGGAAAGGCATGTCCTTTTAATTCAGAGCAGAGTGCAATGACCGAGCTTGAATATGTGCACGCGTGGTCGTTAGTGGCACCGGCAGCTCGTCATTTTCTCCTCCAGTGCTTCAACTTCCATTGCTCATCGCTGACTCCATTCAACTCTGGGGCGGGAGTCCAAGCTGCCACTGCATAGTTCAAATACCTGACCTGTGCACACCCATGATGAGTGAGCCACTGAGTTCGGGGTGGGTGGCCGCTGGTACTGGAGTCAATGAGCTGTGCCTGTTGTGCACCTTCAGGTGATGAGAAGCTTCTCGGTGCTTGGTTCAAAACTCCCTAATGACACGCTTTCATTTTCAATTACACGGGCGCTGACTGGCTTAGATGTCCAAATCGTTGTCAACGTGGTGGCTTTACCATGACGTCATCTTGAACACATCTTAGCCTTGCTTCAAATCTGCCTCCACTGGCAGAATTTAAAACAAGAAAAACAGAATCTGTCAGGAAAGAATGTTGAAGTAATGCAACTCGACTGTTTAAGATCTGTGTAGGTTAAGGAGGAGCCACGTTAGTCCGGGTCGTTAGTGTAATTTCCAGAGATTTTTCACCTCATGCATGAAAAAAGCTAAAGCTAATGAATATTGGAGGTATTGTTGCAACATTTTGTAACATTGGTCAGTCCGAGATAAGTAATACAGTGGACCTTCGGAACAAAGACGTTTGTATCATCTTGCACAATCATAAATTTGCAAAAACTCCCACTGTCGCACTGTGAGACTTGTTGCTTTTGCCAGCTTGTCTTCTGTGTCTAGTGCTTTTCAACAAGAAGCAGACAGGACACTTACGCTCATTTCTATGCTTCAATAAAACGGCCAATGATAGCAGCCGGTTGTTATTAGTGATTGGTTAATTAGTTGCCAAATTTGTCTGGAAGACTGGTAGCCTGCTTCAAAATAAAATACGTGCTGATGGATGCCTTCACGCCAAACTCTCCCCTGGGGTAAAAAAAAAAAAAATTGAATAGACACCAATAACTGCTGTACGGTTATCATGACATCAACAACATATCAAATGATTGAGACTCCCAACTCTACAGAGCTAGTTAATGGTGCAGCTGTGCTGTCAAGATGGTGCTCTGGTAAAGAGGATACTATTTAAAGAATGTACTTGGGAGCGGTGTTTCTTTTTTTAGAGTTTCAAAACCGCTAAAACAGAAAAGTAAAAATGGAACAGATGATTTTAATAGATCTTTTTTTTAAAATAACGCACAGTCACAAAGAGCATCATTTGTACAAATGAGGAATCGAAGTTGCTGAGGGGCTCTGCAAACAGTTAGACCGCATATTTAACATCTATAAATAAGCTGTATTGAATGTCCAGCAGCGCTTTGAAAGTCAATCACAATTCATTCTGTGATACACATCAACCTCTAATTTGGTCGGCTATCCAAATAGCCTTTCATATGCCACGCACACAGAGGGATGTGAGGCCTGAAAAGGAAGTTGTTTAATAGTAAGATAGTAAGATCAGAAGTGCAGCGTGTGCGTGACTGTAGTGTTGTATTTGAACAACGCTCATTTAATTATTTTTTTTTGGAATTTTTTTTTTTTTTTTTGCATAATCCCTCTTCATAGTGCTGTTGATTTGCATTGAAATGCAGCCAAGAATTGAATGACAATGCTCAGTTCTTTATTTTTTATTTTAATCCATCATCCAAGATGACTTGCACGTGTTCACAGGTTGGACGTTGATGGCAAAGAGTGGCATTTACCTGCGTAGCTCTGTTAATATTTAGCTGCTGTTTTTCTAGTGAACTAGTAGTGAGCGAACTTCCTTCCTTTTCTTTCCCTTTCACCTGCTCTGCTTTTAATATGTCGCCATGCCGGGTTAAAGTCTATAAAAGCTCATCGATGACAACACAAAAGGCTGTGTTGGGTGATGCTCTGTTGGCCATTTGCAAAAATATCCAATAAGTTCTTGATTTCACTTTCGCTGATTGATGATTGTACCATCCAATTCAAAATCTGTCCATTTTCTCGAGCCCATATACCGTTCAGGGTCACGGAGTAACCGGGTTCAGACCCTGCTGACTTTGCATAAAAGGTGGACTACACTCTGGCCTGATCGCCAAATCAATCACAGGGCACATGTAGAGCCAGACAACCATTCACACTTACTATTCACACCATCACTGAGTGGGAACAGAACCCATGCTACCTGCAACAAAGTTTCACGAGTGAACCACTACACATCAGTGGCCCATTTAAAAATATTTCCAAATACAAATCATCATTAAAAAAAAAAAAAGAAATTAATTTCCAAAATAAATGAAAAGTGACAATCAATTTCTGGAGTATATATGATGCCAGTCCCGAGACAAGCTAGTCTGTCCAGGGCTGTAAGAATGTCTGAGTGTGATGATGGAGGACGGCGCTTTGGCCTGTTGGAGAATGTGCTGTCCACAGGACACGCACGCTCAGAGTTGATTATTCGTTCTCTTGAAATTATATGACAGAACAATACTGCAGTCCCTTCCGAAAAGTATTGGAACGGCAAGGACATTTGCTTTCTTTTTGTTGTATTCTGAAAGCATTTGGTTTCAGATCAAAAGATGAAAAAGCAAATACCATGAAATAAAAGCTGGAATTCGGAACCTTTGTCGATAGTCATCTTTTGATCCGAAACCCGGATGTCTTCAGGATACAACAAAAACATGGGGAAATCACCATGCCATTCCAATACTTTTGGAGGGGACTGTATATGTTCTTTGGCTACTCCAACTTCCTCCCGCATTCCAAAAATATGCTTGACACATTCATTCAAGACTCTGTCAGTTGTGGATGAATGCTCATGTGAAATGACATGCAGCGTATACCGGTGCTCAATAACAATTGTTTATTGTCTGTCATCTGTTCTTTTTTATGCAGAGGAAGCCGATTATACAACCTTTGGTACCGATACGCTGACGAGAAAGAAAAACACGGTTCTTTCGGCAGTTCTTCTCCGACCCGATGCCAACAGGAAAAAGCCGCCCGTTATCATCAGCCTCCCGAGGGACTTCCGTCCCGTTTCGTCTATCATCGACGTGGACATCCTGCCCGAAACGCACAGACGCGTCCGCCTGTACAAGCACGGCCAGGAAAAGCCTCTGGGCTTCTACATCCGTGATGGCTCCAGCGTGCGGGTAACGCCGCAGGGCTTGGAGAAGGTCCCTGCCATTTTTATCTCTCGGATGGTTCCCGGCGGCCTCGCGGAAAGCACCGGTCTTCTCGCAGTGAATGACGAGGTTCTGGAGGTGAACGGCATCGAGGTGGCTGGCAAATCTCTGGACCAAGTGACTGATATGATGATCGCAAACAGTCACAACCTCATCATCACAGTCAAGCCGGCCAACCAGCGTAACAACGTCGTCCGCGGCGGGGGCACGGCGTCCGGGAGCTCGGGGCGGTCCTCGGACAGCGGAGCCAGCTACTACGGCTACTCTTTGTCGGCCGGGCTCGGCGCCACCTCCTCTGCCCCCTCGCACATCATCCAGAATTTCCCCGTCGGCGAGCTCGAGAGCGACGAAGACGACGAGGACCTCGTAATCGAGGCAGGGGGCGACGCCGATCCCATCAGCCGCACGCCGTCCAATTACAGCATGCCCCCGCTGCCTCGCTACGAGCCGCACCTGAACCTGCGAGCGTCCGCTTCGCCGCCACCCCTCGCCATCAACGGTGCCGTGCTAGCCCGCGGGAGCAGCGGCTCACTGAGCAAGGCCGGGTACTCCACACCGTCACCGGACAGAGCCACGAGGAGGCGGAGTCTCGAAGAAGACGGAACTGTAATAACACTGTAGAACTGCCATGCATGCACTACACTTGAGTACTTCCACACACTCTGTACGTTTACGCCGTGTTAGCAAAATATTTTTTTTTTATCTGGATGAAACATAAACATAAGTCCAGCTGTAGAAACAAAAACCCACTTCAACAGACTTCCTTGACACCAATTCCTAATTAGACAAGGCCTTGGCGGCATTTGATGGCATTTCAGAAAAAGCACGAAAAATACCGGTGGGTTCAGGAGCATGTACACAAGCAAATCAGACCAGGCCCAAGACGATGTGTACATGCTTTGAGTGGGAGGCAGACAAGTAGCTGGTCGACCAGAAACGACATTTGGCTTCATGCATCCCTCTTACCAAAAGAGATAACAAACATGTGATTTGTACTACAAGTCAAGTTTACAGCATGTGTACTGAGCATACAGATTTGCAACACTATCCAAGTCACTATTCTCCAGCAAGCTTGTTTTATTTTGCAACGTATTCGATCAATCAGAAAGAGACTCTAACCAAGAGGTGTACAAGAGGCATAGCGCCACCAATGGCAGTAGCCAATAAATTGCTTCTGTACAAGGACAACTCAAGTAGTTCACTTCACAGATGTAGCGGTAGCTGGAACAAACTGGATGTAAACTGAGCGACACTTTGAGAGGGAGTCACGGACCAGCCATTGACGCCAATAACTTTGACGGAGAAGCGCAATGACATGTAAATATTGAATCTGGACACAAAGCCTATTGAAATGTTTGTACATTTACATGTAAAACACCACACTTCAGACTGTAGTGCCCACGCGTGTGCCATTGTGGCACCATGGAGGCTGCGGGCAACCCCCCCCCCCACACACACACACACACACACACACACACTAAAGGACTAAAGGTGTCACTTCACAGAAAAACCTCCCCCCAAAACCAGGTACTGCACCTCCTTCCAAGCTACAAGCCTCCTGAAGCACTTATCTTGTTTTTTGTTTTTGTTTTTTCAAACTTCCTCTAGAGAGCAGCGGTGATCCCTCATGCCCACGCGTCTTATGAATCGATGAGTGTTTCCCCAGCCACAAGCCTGTGGACACCAACAAGGCATTTATTTTATTATTTATTTTTTATGTTGTTTTTAGCAAGACAATCATCCGCAAGAATATTGCAGCAAATTCACTGACCGAGGCTGCCTTCTGCAAAAATAATAATAATAATAATAATAGTAACAATAAGAAAAATGATGATAATGTTTTTATTCAAAGACAAAACAAATTTGGACCTTTCAGCCTCAGATTTTTTTTTAGGTATGTCAATTGATTATAGTCATTTAAGACAGCTGTTGGCCTGGTCAAACCTCAAGGAGTCGTATTATGCATTTAATTAAGTGAATTTAATTTGTCTGTGGCATGTTTTCATCCAAAACCCCATGGATCGAGAATTGAACATGTATTTTTCAATTCAAGTGTCAATGAGTGTCGCGGTGTGCCCCGTGACATCGCCAGACGTACGACTGTTTGTAGACAAGCAATTAAAGTCAGTCTTCCATAATATGTCCCCTTTTAAGGTTGCAAATGCGAGGCGACCCCTGGCTTCAACGATTCCAGGGTGACAGATCATTTTTAATGTCATCAGTCACTGTCATACAAGCGTAAAAATAGTGGCCTTTTCAGATTTTACTGTTTGCCGTCATTGGTCCACTTGTGGACCTTTTGTATATTTGGGATAATGTTTGCAACTGTTGCTGCATATGCCACGACAACAATGACCCACCCACCCTCTATTGCATCACGTGTGCAAAATATCAAATAACATAAAGCCCCCCCCCAGTTGATCCCGCCCCACATAGTTCGTCGACCTTGAATCTTTGTACAGTAAATGTGTCGGGTCATTTTCTAGCAAGGCCACAGTTGACACAGCATTCCATAATGGTTATTTGGACCCGAGTTGAAACATTTGAGAGCACCACTGTAACACGTAACCTTGTCTTTTAGAGGCTGTTTTGACCGCAGCTAAAAAGTCAAATTGAAATTGTCGTATTTTAAAAAGGCAAGACGGTTTTACGGTGTTTTGCACGGCTTTACACTGTATCCTTGACAAATGCTTTGGTCAACAGCAAATTTTAATCAGAGGTGGCTTGATGTGTTCTTCAATGTCTTTCGACGCTGATGTCAAAAATGTCCACTTTTTTCTGAGCATCAGTGTGAGATATTTTCTTTTTTTTTGTTTGTTTTAAAGTTTGACCAATTAAGGCCTGTAAATCACTGAGTGGCAAAAGTTGGCAAGTATGTGCGCATGCAGCAATATTTTTTATTTTATTTTTTTGGTGAGGGTTCGTTCAATGCTGCAAAGAGGTCCAAAAACTTTCCCAAATTGTTTTATGGTTGCCAACTGTTTTTCTTGTAGTCATCAAATTTTGAACATGTTCAAAATTTCTTCGCAACAAGAAAAACCATCAATTTGCGTCCATTTGCGACCTTAAAGAAACCCTGACGAAAAAACATTAGTGAGTTGCGCACACACTTGCACACTTGATTTTACCATGCCTTGTAACTTATAGCTATGACGTTTCAGAAAAAAATCCACGTTTCTGAACCTAATCCTTGATTCCTAACTATTACTAAATATATTTCTACATGATACAATTATTATAAAAAAATGTGCTTGAGGGAGAAAAAATTTGAAATCAGTTAAGTTTCTCAAAGTCTGCTTGCATCTCTGATTTTTTTTTTTTTTAAATTGTAATTTGTTGACCACTGATGTCATTTTGTGTGCAATTCAAGAGCCTCCACAGCTGAGATGTAACGAGAGAAATTTTTGTCTTTAGTTTTGTTTTTACTCACGGCAGCATGGTTGACCAGTGCTTAGTACGTTTTGCCTCACAGTCGAGTGTTTCTGGGTTCAAATCTGTGCTGGGGCCTTCTTGTGTGGAGTTGTCAAGTTGTTCCCGTGCCCGTTTGGGTTTTCTCGAGCTTCCTCCCCCACACCTGCACGTTAGGTTGATTGAAGACTCTCAATAAGTGTTGCCCAACCTTTATTGAGCCAAGGCACGTATTTTACTTTTAAGCATCTCAAGGCTCCCCACCAAACAAAAGCAACCGAAAAAGTGGATCGCGGGCTCATTATGCACCTTCAGCCATCTTGTGGAAGAGCATTTAACTGTTCTGCCTGTCACTATATGTTGTTAGCATTGATAGGTGAACAAAGACACAATATTTGGATAGAATAATTTTCGGAGCAATTAAGTTGGATGGAGAATATCCTGCGGCACATCTCTCACAATGCAACAAATTATAAGTGTGAATATAAGTGCATTTATATGTTCCCTTAAATTGACTGACGAACATTTCCAGGATATTGTCCCAAAGTTGGCTGGGATAGACAGACACAAAGTCACCTGTGATCCCAATGAGAAAAAGCTCAAAAGAAATGTTTATCCTGCTTACACACATGCACACAGGCGTCACTTTTGCATCACACTTCTTTCTTATGATTGCAGTCTCATGAACCTGTTAAGACTGTGATACTGTTAGACTGGAAACACTTTTAATGTTCTGCCTTGTGTGGCACTGGCTACCGGCGATGGTATCTGTCATTCCAGGAGTAATATAACAAAATCATTTTTAAATTATTGTATTTAACTGCTCCACAGGACACTGGGATTGTAACCACAGAGACACTGTTATTTATTCTGTAATCATGTCTATTTCTGGAATATTTTCATTCTTTGTACTCTTTATGATTTTTTCCCCTTTTTTTTGACCAATACATTTTGTGTGGGTACTTTCTTGATGTTTTTGTTTGAGAAAATCTCATGGTAGATGTATTTGACCACTGGAGAGGATTTCTAGTAGCTGACTGTTGTTATCGATTTTTTTTTTTTTTTTTTTTTTTTTGCGAGGGGATGTGGACACAATTTTTTTTTCATACTGTGAATTTTCATTTAAAAAAAACATTTTTGATATTTGAGTCTTTTCTCTTTCTCCTTTTTTAAGTGATTGAGCTATGGCGTTTGCTTGCCAGATAAATGCTATGTTATATGTAGATTTGTAATGAAGATTGTCAGTATTTTCATATCGATGCTTTAAATAATGTACATTTTTATCACGTTGTGACTACATTGTAAGACTCGACTGGAGCTGTACGAATAAATAGATGTACGCCTGTAGTTGTTGATTTAAGGAGCTTGATGAAAAATAATAAAGAGTAATGAGTAGTAGCTGTGGTCTACCTGTCTTTTGCAATCATTTTGCTGAGCGACAAACTTCCCAGTCGTGGATGTTCAATTTCAATTTTGGCATTCTGGCGCCATCCGGTGGACATTTTAATTTCCTGTTCAGAACTGGCAGGAGCTTTCTCAAGCTATCCCGTTTCAATGGATGTCAGTTACATGCTGGTTTTCGCTATTCAGGGGCCGGTCCAATCACTATCCAAACTTGACCCAAAGTTGACAGCCCAACATTATTATAACGTTATAAAGAGCTAATTCTGGTCACAAGATTGAAATGGTACTGTAAATAGATCTGCAGTGATAGCACTGCTGACACCTTTTTGACATGCTTCGGCTGCAAAAAGTTTCTTTTGCTCTGGAACTTTGATGTGGTTGGTTATTGTGTTAAAATTAAGTAAAAGCTCATTTTAATCATATTTTTTATAGGGATGACTCAGTGTTTTACACAGTAAAATACACCAACACAAATAAAGAGCTTAACGTTGTATAGTACGGTATATAGTTTAATAACAAACTTTTTTTTTCAAGCAAGTGGAATGTCTGGCTAATCAAATGTCTGAACGCGGCACGTTATTACGTCGTTGGTGTCGCATCATGAGCGTCCCAGAATGCCGTCACCTGGAGGATCTTTCGCAATAAATATTGAACAAGAAATTTTTAGTAATATAAAATTATTGTAATCGTACACGGATAAAATATTAATTCCAAAAACTAAATGACACAAGTATTCGTCACCCAGCAAGAAAGTCCGACGACACGGATATGACGTCTGTGTCGTCGACAATGCGGACATGACGCAATTTCCAGTCTCGATGGGTATCACGTGACGTGACAGGTAGCATTTCAGCAGTTATGGCGGCGCTGGGTTGACGAGTAGGAAAAAAAAATCGCAGCTAGGAAAAGCCTTCGTTAGCTTCCCTTGTCACCTGCTTTCCCGCAGGGGCATGGCCAACATGACGGCCTGATACAATATTGGTACCAAGACACCCAGCAATGCAGCAGCACCATCAACAACAACAACAGCAGCAGCAGCATAAGGCAGAGAATAGTAAAACCAAGAGTATGTTTCTGTCTCGGGCGCTGGAGAAGATCCTCTCGGATCGAGAGGTGAAGAGGAGTCAACACAGCCAGCTGCGCAAAGCCTGTCAGGTGGCGCTGGGTGAGCGAGCGAGCCAACCGCTTCTATTCTGACTTGTTCATTCTTGCTTTTGAATTAGTGATCAATTTCCCCCCCTCTTACCACTTTAGCTATCATTGGTAGGTGAGTGGCCCTGTCTGTTGTGCTAACTCGTCAAAGTGTCATTGATGTGTCGTCGCCTGTTTATAGTGACTTCGTCAAAGGAACGGCCTTTTGACTCTCTACTTTCCGCTGTCACCGTGGGCATTTGCACCCCTGCGTCGCTGTGGTTAGTCGGCTAGGCTAGGCTAGGCTTGCTAAAGAGACCAATCACTGTGTTGTACGTAGCACTGTCACCCAACTGGACATCCGTCACAAACTAACACGAGGATGACATTAAACCTTTCCGCTTCCTCAAATCACCATACGGTTTGATTGTGTTTTTTTAAATAAAACTACCACGATGTTGTAAAATGTGTTGATATAAAACAAAATAAAAATAAAAAGACATGATAAAGAAGTAAAACAGTTTATCTACACTGTAATTAAATCCACACCCATTCCTGTATTCATGTGTGCATTTGAGGGCTGCAAGGATAATCAAATCACTAAAATAGGGATGCAACACTCGATTATTTTAAGATTACGATGGTCAAAATTTTTTTCAAATTTTTTAAAATTAGAGCTGTAAGTAAACCGCTAGATTCCATTGCACCGAATCCAGAATCTACCCTTGTTGTTCTCTACCGCATCTGCTTTTCATAATAATAATAATAAGATTAAGAATAATAACAATAATGTAATATGTAATATTAGTAACAATTATGAATTAAACGGTAAGTTCAGCAACAGGTGAATTTTTTTCAGAAACATCATTGCTATAAATTACAACACATGGTAAAATACGTATTGCGCAAGCTTTTATAGGTCAATATTAAACAAAAACGAAATTATCACAAAAAACTGATGTGCTAAGAAAAAAAATCTATACAGTATTTTTAAATCAGTTTAGCGACATATGAATTGAATTTAGTGTTGGCCAGTGTTATTTAATTAATCGAACTCACAGAATAAAATTAATTAATTTCCATCACTGATTTCAAATTGACAGTGCAGAAAATACACAAACATAAATTGATTATGATTCAGTTACTGGCCTGTAACATCTCAGTAAGTCTGCCAAAATGTTGATCATTCGTTCCACAATAAAAGCAGCATATTTACAGATGTCTTAAATTCGATTCCGCATGAATACAATTAGTCTGCTTTCATGAAGGGCGACAGAAATTGGAGAACATTTACTGCTGAAAGGCTGAAAGTACCTGACAGTATCTTGTCGGTGTGTGCTTTCATCTTCGAAATACACTGTCGTCTATGCATTGGTACAAACACTTGTTGTAAATCTAAACTACAGCGAAAGCATCGACCATTAAATGTGCTTCATTAGATCAGTGTCCGTTTAACAAGCTAAATAATTGATGATGGCTGCCATTTGTAATGTGAAGGTTGTGCTCATTTCGACCAATGCGGGGGAAGAGTCAGCTTTGAACAACTTTAACAGTCTGTGGCATTTAATATTTGAACTACTCAAGTATTGTTGTTTACTTTGTGTCGTCACGAGCCACTGCTGACGGATGTCGAGAGAGTTTTATGGGCAATTGAGGCATCCCCGCATTCAGGTTGTTTGAGGTCAATGTCGACACACCCATATCAAATATACCCTGCCTTCCATAAGTGTTGGCACCCTTGTTAAGATGCTCTTTAACTTTGACGAAATTCAGTTTTTTTTTTCGACATAATATATATATTATTCAGCAGGGGAAAAAAATCCCTTATTAATAAATCATTATTTTACATCATGTGTGCCACAATTACTAACGCCGCTGATGTTAATGCTTTGGATAACCCATTTTTGTCAGCAAAACACCACCTAATGGTCTGCGATAATGTTTCACAAGATGGGAGCATACAGAAAGAAGGATCTTTGACCATTCCTCTTGGCACAATCTGAATCATTCAGTGACCTGCATGCTCTCCTCTGCACTCTTTGGACCACTCCACATTTTTTTTTCATGGAGTTGAGGTCTGGGCACTAGGGTGGCCATGGGCGGAGCTTGATTGTGTGTCTTGTGAACCATGACTATAATTTCAACGATGAGACTGTTTCCGGGGGGGGGAAAAAAAGTTTTTTTTCACAAATCTTAATCGCGGTGCCAATAATTGTGGAGGACGCTGCAGTTGCATAGTACTTACTATTGTATTTTTTCAAATGATGGCCATCACCTGAACAAATAAATGCCACATAGGCGGCTCTCAATCAGCCCCAGGATGACCCATGGCAGCATGTGTTGCTGGATGCATTCTCACCTTATCTACTTGAGCATGGTCGACATGGCAACTAAAGCCTTTGGACTAATTCAATTCCACGTCAACGACAAACTTCCTATGTTGAAAACGTGATCAAGCCTGTACATTTACGGAATCTGCCATTAGTATTATAATCAAAACCATATCATTGTGTTGCTCGTTAGAAATGAACCAATTCTGTCTGAATTTTTTTTTCATTTCTCTTTTTAGATGAAATCAAGGCAGAGCTTGAGAAACAAAAGTAAGTGTACTCAAGCAACTGGGTGTCATTTACACTTGAATGTACATATTTGTAACGAGATGAGTTAAAACTAAAAATACATATGATCCCAAATTAATAGCATTTTAAACACTCACATACATCTTTAAACATCGCTGTACAGCAGGGGTGTCAAACTCATTTTTGTTATGGGCCACATTGTAGTTACGGTTTCCCTTGGGGGGCCGATATGAATTTTGGGAAACTAAATGTTTAACCACCTCCCCATATTACATAAACAGCGCACAAGTTGATGGATAACTAGTTTAAAATCAGAAGTCAAGAATAATGACTGTTATTGTGGATTACATATGACAGTTTGAAATTTTGGTTCAGACTTTAGCAAAGCATCATGGAATTTGACATGCTTGATTTGCTTTCGCGGGCCACATAAAATGATGTGGCGGGCCAGTTCTGGCCCCCGGGCCTTGACTTTGACACCTGTGCTGTACAGTAACCACTGCACAATTAAGCATGCAGATACACAATGTATCGTACTTGGGCGCACACTTTGACAATTCCGATGTTGATGATGATGATTAAAAATATAAAATACTGTAGTGGTGCAGTCTGGTGTAAAACAACCAACATTTGACTGGACAGCAACGCACACGAGTTACATTGATGTTGCCGATGCTCCCTGTGCTGATGGCTAAACTCTGCTTCACTGTATTATTTCTGGCCGTTTTGACACCCACTTACTTGTCACACCTCCACCCCCAACTCCCCTTCACAGGGATGGCACAGTGGTCCCACCCAGAGCCAACTACATCGAAGCTGACCAATATGTGCTGCCATTTGAGTTGGCTTGTCAGTCCAAGTCCCCCCGTATAGTTAGCACCTCTTTGGACTGTCTGCAGGTTAACACACACACACACACACGCGCGCACACGCGCGCACACGCGCGCCACCCGGATGTACAGTTCACAAAGAATTAGAGATGTTTAAGTCACTGTCCTCCTTTAAAGGTTATAGTGCATTTTATATCTATCTTGAAATTTAATCCGAAATCTGAATGTACTGTACCTAACTTGTGAGTAGTGTACGTCATGACTCTTTTGAGGGCCTCAGCGGACATCTTGACCCATCTGTTTTACTTTAGCATTATGGGTTTTGTTGAAAAAGAAAAACACTTGCTGAAACGAAGTTTAGGTTTAATACATTTGTTTAAAATTGTATACTATTTGGTAAATTTGAATTTCAAGGACAACTCTCTGTGTCGATTGAGGTAGCTCACACAACATCGAGCTGGAAACTGCGCATGTGAACATACTGATTTGATCTGATATTTAAGAATATGCTTTTTGGGGTCTTCATGGCAGAAACTAATAGCGTATGGCCACATCACGGGCAATGCGCCGGACAGCAGAACTCCGGGCAAGCGCTTGATTGACCGCTTGGTGGAGACCATCTGCAACTGCTTCCAGGGCCCGCAGACTGACGAGGGAGTCCAGCTACAGATCATTAAGGTATGTTGAGCCTCATTTTCACCAGGCAGTGCACTTTACTGAAGTCTGCTGTGATGCATCATTTTTGTCAGCAGTTTCCAAAACCAAAAATTGCGAAGTCCACTTGGCAACAGTCTCATTTAAAGGGACTGTGAGTAAAAATGTGTTGAATTTTCAATGTTCAGTATTTCAAATTTTTTAACCCTTTCAGGGATCGCGGTTACTACAGTGGACAGCTGATCATGTTATCAGGTTACAGGTTATCATTATTGGTGCATGAAAGGGTTAATGTAATTGTAAGTAAAATAACCACTAATTATATGACATAGGGCACCCCTGACCCCACAGCAGGCGTCCATGTTTCACCGCCATCTTTCTGGTATGGATAAAATAAGAAGACCAACTTGATGGCACTAAATTCTACACACTGTACCTTTAAAAGGATGTGGGGGGGGGGGATTCTTGCTGCAGTTGTACTCACATTGAAGGGGCCTGTTCAAACAGACTGAGGTTTGACAGATTTAAATTTGGGGGAAATCCTGTCAACTCGAGCCTGATCACCTCATTTCAGCAGTTGGGAATTGGGGTAAAAAGATTGTTTTTTTTTTTTTAAATAAAATGTTATAAAAAGCAAATGTGAAGTGTGCATCAGGTATCAGTGTGATATTTTCTGGACTGTGGAAATATTTTAATGTGGAAAACGGAGACAGTGCAATGGCATCAGCTTGTGAGCGTCACGAGCAATTCAGACAACTGCTGAGCTCTGTTTGTTACCTGAGCCCTGAGCAACTGTGATGTCATTTTCAGTAGACAGCAAATACCAAACAGGTGCATTTTGCTGCTTTTCTCATACTTCTCATTCATATTCCGCAAACGTGGTGATAATCAGAATAAACTGTATCAATTAGTGGGGCCACATAAAACATAGCGTAAAGAAAATGTTTTGACTTGACTTCCCCTTTAATATATTGCCAAGGCATCGGATCAGGATTGGGCAGATCCTCAAAATCAGGTGACTCGGTGCCCAAAAAAGTTATTGTTTTCCCTCGCGTTTTCTCTTCATGTGACCATAATAGATCTCTGCATTTAGTTTTCGACTCCAATGTTCTGAAATTGTAGTTGAATGAAGAAACACCCTCAACCTCTATTTGGAGAAATACGATACTGGTACGCTCGACCCATCTCTGCAGCGTGCTGAAGCTGTGTTTGAGGATATTGTGTACACACTATCAGGTTAGACGGGACCAAAGTACTGCATCTCCTGTTCTGACAATCACATTGCATGTGAATAAATAGTTATTGTCAACATCTTGCTCGTCACCCCAGTTTGATTTTGAAACTAAATCCAAGACACCGCTAAAAACTGAATCGCCATGAATTGGCCAACAAATGTACATTTACGGAGAGGGAAGGGAATGTGAGTGTGTTCATGGGTTTCAATTTGGGATTCACTGATATCGGTGTGTCCCAGTACTCACTCCTGAGAACGGTATCCTCACAATTTTCAAGACTTCTTTTGGACAGTCCAGTTTCTCTTCTAAAGGATTCAAATTCTAGAATTTGATTCGCAACGAGTTGTGGGAGACTGATGCTACCATATTTGGCTGGGACCTAAGACAAAGTGGCTCACATTTACCAGAGCTGCTTGCATGAACACGTAGATGCTTAATATTTTTTAACTACTTTCCAGGCCCTTCTGACGGCCGTAACCTCCCCACACATTGAGATCCACGAGGGCACAATCCTCCTCACTGTCAGGACCTGCTACAACATCTACCTGGCCAGCCGCAACCTCATCAACCAGACCACCGCCAAGGCCACACTCACTCAGATGCTCAATGTCATCTTCACACGGATGGAGAACCAAGCTGTCAGTCCACTTTACAACTTGCATGCCCTTGACAAATAAAATGAATTCATAGCCCAGCCCTAGTGACAACAAACCACATTACAAAGCTGCCGAGCTGAAAGATGGCAAGATGTCTGGTTTCTTCCGTGTTTAATCTTGGCTCACATTTTGTGCCTTACACCTCCAGGCTTTGGAGGCCCAGGAACAAGAGAAAGAGCGGCTTCGTCTGTCCCAAAATAACCCCTCTCCAGTCCCTTGTACCGGCTCACCTCGGCCCGACCGGACGCCCACCCCGGAGCCACGCAGCTCCCCGTCACCGGAAGCCAGTACTCTGAACGCCATCAGCTCAACACCACCACCTCCGCCTGACTTGGACCTGGATACACCAACCATGAATGGAGATTCAGAGAGAAGTAATGTTTTACACAATGTAGCCGTGTGATGATTTAATTTTTTATTTATTTTTTTATTATTATTTTTTTTTCCCCCTTGCAGATTCAGTTTTTGAAGATGAAGGCAATGAAGCACCTCCAGGCGAAGTAGTACAGGCAGATGGAGAGGCTCCAGTATCACAGACTGAAGAAGATGAAGGAGAACAGCCACCTCTCACCGGTCAGAACTTTTTGTTGTTGTTTTTTTTTTGTTCTAACTTGAATGTCTCTTGAGTCACAGATTTAAATGTACGTAGAGTATAGTTTCCGCGAATAAGCTGTCTAATATGTATGTCTTCTAATTAGAGCTGCCAAAATGAGTTTACTAATCATGACTACGGCAACAATCAAAATCATCAACAATTAATTTAATAATTGACGAGTTGTTTATTTATGTATTTATTTATTTACTGCACAGTTTGTCACTGACAGCCTCACACCGTGTCATTCCTACTGATCACTTATTTCAAAAAATCAGGTTTACCCAATTGAACTGTTTTAAGCCAGCAAAATCGCAACAGTAGTTCTGAAGTCACTTCATGTCATAGACCGAAATCTATGCGTTTGTCTAAAATCTCACATTTTCAATACACTATATTTATAGTTATATATTTATAGCAAATTGTAGTTGTATAAATATGCTAAAAAATGTAAATCTTCCTCCTAACCTTTCAGGATATCTATTTATTTGTTTATTGACACTGATTTCACTACTTGTACGTTAAAAAGGCGTGGTGCCCAAGAAGATTGAAACATGCTTTCAAATATTTTTGTGTTAATAGTTTTATAGTATTAGTGCAACTCTGAAAAGTGCATAGTTTTGGGTTGCATTTTAAAATGCACAAAACATTTACAGCTAAAAAAATAATAATTAAGGCCACAGTAACACCGATAATGCTCTTGACCTCTCCGCCTATTAGATGCACCTGGTGCTCAGCACGTCTCTGAGCAGACACAAGTAGCTCTCCCTAAAGCCGTCGCGGAGGCACCACAGATGAACGGCATCATCGAAGACCGCTCGTCTGTTTCTTCAGCGGACATGTTGGTGAGCCACATGACAGTGCAGTTGCGGAAGAATTGTTTGGTTCACTTTGTTTTGCTACACGAGCGCTTCTGTTGTACGCTATTGGAAACTTCATCCACTATAATATTAAATGAATAGCTCTCTCACAGTGTCGATTAAAACAGATTTATCTCTTGTATTGGATCTCATGAGATTGTGCCCTAATTAACATGCACATGCTTTCTTCATCTGCTCAGGATGCTGAGGCCCTGCAAGGACCCCACAGCGCCTCCCGTTTCTCTCATATCCTACAAAAGGACGCCTTCCTGGTGTTTCGCTCACTGTGTAAACTTTCAATGAAGCCCCTTGCAGAAGGACCTCCGGACCCAAAGTGCGTAAGAAGCACAGTTTCTTTACCTGCACGGTGTCTACTTGTGTTGACATCGCTCAAATTGCTCTTGACACTTTTCCGCCGGCAAAGGCAGGTGCTAAGAAGTACGTTGCATTATTATAATGCAACGTCTGCACATTACAACACTGCACCCTTTTGTTGCTGCTCTTATTCTGCTCTCCCATAAATTAATCTCCTTGGCTAAGAGGTAAATACAAGGCGTGCCTCATTCTCCATTGTTGATTAACCCACCTTGTTCCGACTGACACCTTCAAACGCGGAATGGTTTTTGCATATTCACACGAGACTATTTCGTGGAAACGTGTCTGATCAAAACCAAAGGTGATCTGCAACATTAACCAGATTGGAAGTTTCGCAAATTCATTATGCAATTATGGGATACTGAGTTTAGAGTTTTAAAAAATGTTCGATTTGAAAGTTCCAGCATTACAAATTTGCCAAAAAACAACAGCAAAACAGACTGTGTACATGTATGTGGTATGTTTACTGTGGTTGCATATAGTGTGCTGACACCAAGGGCTTCATCTCTCTTTAAAGTGCCTTGCCATCTCTGGTTACTGTAACTTTAACCTCAGGCAACCTGTTGTTAGGGCAAAGTAAACTGAGTCCAGAATCCCGTAGACATCGTGATGGTTAATTTTGAAATCCCACTTGGGTTAAACTGGAATGCTCCGCACACTAACCTCTTCGTTTGTTGGGATTGGGTTTTCCTTGAATCACATTCAAATATTGGATGTTAAGATGCCATCGTGGTTTCACAACCCCTGTCCTCAACATTTGGAGGATGCTTGGTGGTCTACAGTGTAGTTGCCTACGTTTCCAGTATTCACGTGTTTTCCAATTCTTATTTTGCACAGGTCGCACGAGTTGCGGTCCAAGATCGTGTCGCTGCAGCTGCTGCTCTCTGTGCTGCAGGGCGCAGGGCCGGTTTTCCGCACCCACGAGATGTTCGTCAACGCCATCAAGCAGTATCTTTGCGTGGCGCTCTCGAAAAACGGCGTCTCCTCCGTGCCTGAGGTGTTTGAGCTCTCGCTGGCCATCTTCCTCACGTTGCTCTCCCATTTCAAGGTCCACCTGAAAATGCAGATTGAGGTACGTGGCAGTGTGTGCGCGTGTGGGGTGGGGGGCGTCTTGCAAACTGGTGTTTTTTTGCCATATTTTTAAAACCCTTTCGAACATACTGTGCTTCAGGTGTTTTTTCGGGAAATTTTTCTCACCATCTTGGAGACGTCGACGAGCTCCTTTGAGCACAAGTGGATGGTCATTCAGACACTAACGCGCATTTGCGCAGGTATGTGTCTTAAGTAGGGGTGGGCAAAATAAGGCACGTGGGCCACTCCGTTCTGTAATGAGCATTTTTAGCATGAACATTATCAATTGAGATATTTTAAACCATCAAGTAACTCTTCCTTTAGCATCATCAAGGCAGTAACGCATACAAATAGACCATCCAACAATCCTCACAATTACACATTCTCTGCAGTATTAGTTGGCTGGCTACTTTATAACATCATCACTATCTGTGCCACACTAGTGCCACTGTCACCTTGTTGCCAAAAATGTATTTCCCCATTTGGTAATACGTGTTTTTCCTCTCCAGATGCCCAGTGCGTGGTTGACATCTACGTGAACTACGACTGTGACCTCAATGCCTCCAATATCTTTGAGCGCCTCGTCAACGACCTCTCCAAAATAGCTATGGGCAGGAGTGGCCAGGAGCTGGGCATGACCCCTCTGCAGGTACATACTTGTGGTTGCAACCCGAAATAATGAAAACATTTCATTTTTTTTAATTTGTTGTAAAGTATCATGAATATTTATATAAGATAACATATTGGTGAACTGGAAGTTCTATATTTCTCTGGGGATGTTTTAATTACTCAAGCGCAGAGAGGAGCAGGCAATGTTTGAAAAAGGCAAGGGCTTTATTTGTACAAATCAGTTTTTACCATAATATGAAATCTGACTTTGTTTTTGTCTTCATTCAAGTAACGACGACAATATAATATACATCCGTGCATTTTCTATGCCGCCTGTCCTCATTTGGCTTGCGGATGAGCTGGAGGCTGTCACAGATGACTTTAAGAGAGAGGCGCAGTACTGTATACACTGGACAATCAATGAGCACATAGACAACCCATCTCTGATTAAAATTTGCTGTTGACCAGTGTTATTTTGGGTATAGTGTTTTATTAGAGTGGAGTCCGCTGTGTGCAAAAATGTGCATGAAGTTTATGAAATATGAAATATTAGGAGTAACCGAGTAGAGTCCTGTTTTGCTCTTAACAGTGTATTGCTTCTGTGGTTTTAACAGGAGCTCAGCCTGCGTAAAAAGGGCCTGGAGTGTCTGGTGTCCATCCTCAAATGTATGGTTGAGTGGAGTAAGGACATGTATGTCAACCCAAACCTTCAGGCCAACCTCGGTAAGTGGGTTGGGGTCTTTCTCCTTCTCCTCATTCAATCTACAACCCATACCGGATTTTGCAAACATCCGCCCTGTGTGTCTTTTGTTTTGAAGGCCAGGATCCTCCATCTGAGAGTGAGACGTCAGAGTTGAAGCTTCCAGATCAGCTGGCAGGACGTCGAGACAGCGTCAGCTCCTTGGACTCCACGGTCTCGGCCGGTGTATCGCTGTCTCAGCCGGACCACCCGGAACAGTACGAAGTCATCAAACAGCAGAAGGACATCATCGAGCACGGCATTGAACTGTGAGCCCTTTGAGAGATACATTTGATGTTCAGAAAATGTGAGAGTAGATTGATCGTCTTTGTTTTCCCCCAGCTTTAACAAAAAGCCAAAACGCGGTATCCAATATCTGCAAGAACAACGTATGTTGGGTTCCACAGCGGAGAACATTGCACAATTCCTTCACCAGGAGGACAGATTGGACACAGTAAGAGAGCTGTGAACTTCACATATAAATTGCATTTAAGTACAGTCACGTTGCTAACTACCGTGTGTCTGCATGTACAGACCCAGGTGGGCGAGTTCCTGGGTGAGAACATAAAGTTGAATAAAGAGGTGATGTACTGTTACGTTGACCAGCTGGACTTCTGTGGGCGGGACTTTGTCTCGGCCCTCAGAGCCTTTTTGGAAGGATTCAGACTGCCAGGGGAAGCCCAGAAGATTGACAGGCTGATGGAGAAATTTGCTGCCAGATACCTTGAGTGTAACCAGGGGTGAGTCCACTACAATACTGATGAGAATAATGTTATGAGTATGTCACTAATACCGTCATTATGTACCTTACTCGTGTTGTGCTTTTTTTTTTTCGCCAGACAAACTTTATTTGCCAGTGCAGACACAGCTTATGTGCTGGCCTACTCCATCATTATGCTCACCACAGACCTGCATAGTCCTCAGGTAATAATGACAGTCATTAGATTCATGACAGTATGTACCTCTTGTGTTGTCCGCATAGTGTGCTGTTAAAATGAATGCTACAGTTAGGTCAAACAGTCAAGTGTAAAGTAACATAGAAGCATGATCCATTTATTAAAATGGCTTTTTTACTATGGTGCACTGTTCATTAAGAGGGAAAGATTCCATTATCAGGGCAATGAAAACATTTAAAACTAGAATGTCTCTCAGTAGAGCGCAGACCCTCACCAAGGCCACATAATCCAAATTTCCATCATCACTGGAATTTTACACCGTCGTAGATACCCATCTCCAGCTCATGGTTGAATTTTGTCAATTATGTTTCAGGTACTTCACTTCACTGAGAATGTAAGATGCAAAAAAAAAAAAAAAAGGCCTGTCTTTCATTGTTGTCGGGGAGTATTGGAAAACCAATGGAAACCACAATCTTGTTGGACTTAAAAAAAGCATCATTGACTTAATAAAACAAACTTCATTTTACTAAGACTATGCTCATGCAACAGCATCATGTAAACCTAAGTTCTTTGCGGAGAATGCTAATATCGCAATCAAAATATAGGAATAATTCCACAAGTACCCCGGTCTTGTACACAAGTGCCTTAAAACATCTTGTGCATTTTCTGTTCGTCCCCTTGCACTCTTTTTCAAACCATTTGGGGTCACTGTTGTTCTTGTAATTAGGTGAAGAACAAGATGACAAAGGAGCAGTACATCAAGATGAACCGCGGAATAAATGACAGTAAGGATCTGCCCGAAGAGTATTTATCCTCCATCTATGATGAGATTGCCGGCAAGAAGATAGCCATGAAGGAGAGCAAAGAGTTCTCAATCACACCCAAGTCCACCAAGCAGAGTGAGTATTATTTCTAGATCACTGGTGTCACATCTTTGCTTGTGACCCACCTTGGCAAAACCACTTTTCTCTCACTTGAGGTGTAGCCAGCGAGAAACAGCGTCGCCTGTTGTACAACATGGAGATGGAGCAGATGGCCAAGACTGCTAAAGCCCTGATGGAGGCAGTCAGCCATGCTCAGGCCCCCTTTTTTAGCGCTACACACCTGGAACACGTCCGGCCCATGTTCAAGGTCTGTGAAAACGGCATACTGTAGTCTTGCGTCCTCGCTAACCTGGATATAGAGCTCCAGATATGACGTGACTGTTCCCCGCGTGCATTTGTTAACGCAATGATCCTGGCAGCAGTGGCAAGCGAAGCATTTACAATGGAGAGCAGTGATAAAAGTTGTCAGTCAACCAAGTGCCATTCAAGTGAATTCCTATCTTACTCTGATGAAAAGGATGTTAGACACCGTATTTTCACAACCATATGGCGCACCATATTAGAAAGCATCGTGTCAGTTCCGAGTGCTATTTCTGTATTTAACACATACACAAGAGGCCGTTATTATTGGACACAGGCATGGTAAAACGTATGCTAGCTTAAAAAAATATGGTAGCATGCATGGACGCTAACGTGTGTTCTTAAAAAGGCAGCGGGAGCAAAACTGAGTTCGGTTGTACTTTTATTAAAGTGTTTAACAAAGTACTCACGTTATTTTATTTATTTTTTTATCAATCCCCATCCTCAAATCCATCAAAGTCTGAATCTTCTGTATTCGAAAAGAACATCCTTCATGGTCGATTTTCATGACAAAACTTTAAAAACTTCTCTGCTAAACTGTGTCGATACTCTTAAAAACATTGTTGAAACAGTAATACGGTTCCCTCACATCCTGAAAAACCTGGAAAATGATTGGCCAATTCTCTTGTGACGGAAAACCAAGGAAATGACCAAAAAAAAAAAAGTGATGATGCCAAACCTGTTCACACTGTGTGATTCATTTCAAATAAAACCATTATTTTTATCATTATCTCAAACACGATACAAGAGTATTGTAAATGTGAGTTAAACCCAACACTGCATATTTTTTACATGTACAAAATGCATGGTAAAACTACAGAGAAGAACGCTGCAATTTATGATGGAGCAGTGCAACGTGGTGTGGATGACGTGATAAATTGTCCGTCATAGTGTTGAAACCGAAAATATTTTTAAAAAAGGAAAGATCATGGTGGCTTTTTTGCGCAGTCCCGTACAGATTTGAAAATAGCTTGTGCGCAGTTCTGATGCTAATTGAAGTGATCCATTATTTCCAACTTCCAGCTGGCATGGACCCCTTTGCTGGCAGCATTCAGTGTGGGCCTTCAGGACTGCGATGACCCAGAAGTGGCTTCACTGTGTCTGGAAGGCATTCGATGTGCCATCAGAATCGCCTGCATCTTCAGCATGCAGGTAAAAATTGATCATGTAGTCCTTGATTTGAATTGGCAAGTGCCTTTTGTGTTTTTAATTGAGCCGTTTTCCACTTTGGTGGTAACCGATGTACTTGCCTGTGTGCAGCTGGAGCGAGATGCCTATGTCCAGGCCCTGGCCAGGTTCACCCTGCTGACAGCCAGTTCCAGCATCACTGAGATGAAGCAGAAAAACATTGACACCATCAAGACCCTGATCACTGTAGCACACACGGATGGAAACTACCTGGGCAACTCCTGGCACGAGGTCAGTCAGTCTGCGTACTTTGTGCCGACTACGCTTCATTTAATATCACAAATGTAATGCAAACATCCCTTTAATAGATCCTGAGGTGTATTAGTCAACTGGAACTAGCTCAGTTGATTGGCACTGGGGTGAAGACACGCTACATATCGGGGGTGGTTCGAGACAAAGAGGCCAGCATCAAGGGTTTACCCTCTGGCACGGAAGAATTCATGCCCCTTGGACTGGGTAGGTAACGCTGATTTACTATTACGTCGTCTTGTCTAGAGCTTATCAGTTTGCTAACACAATATTGGAAACCGTTTTTAGTAAGCTTAGTAAGGTATGGGCAATGTCAAATCATTGATACAGAGGGCTGGTTGAGCAATAAACCCATTTTAACGATTCATTTTAGTTATTGTATTTACTGAAGTACCTTGATTTATGAGTGCCCTAACTTTGGAATTTTTTCACTTATGAGCCACGTTCATTTTTTTTTTTTAACGCTCTGTTTTGAGAGCCAAAATTTTACAGATGTAACGTGTTGGTTTAATGACTTGGCTAGGTTTCAAGAATATTGCCCTGTTGTTGTTTTTTTTTTCTGGAATCAACGATTGCATGTGTTGTCCAGCTGCGATATTTGCTGTCCTTTAATCCCTGCTATTGACAAATGAACAAACAAAGCCGAGCTGGACAATGGAAAACGCCATGAAGTTTTCATGGTGGTATGTTCAATGCGTTGCAGGGAACTTGGTGGGAAATCAGGACAAGCGTCAGATGGCTCACCTCCAGGAGTCAGTGGGAGAGACCAGCTCTCAGAGTGTTGTCGTCGCTGTGGACAGGTGCAGCAGAACACTGAATTGATCACAAGTGTAGAGCTGCTAGTTCATTCCCCTTACACTTGCGCTCTTCTGTGGTATTTGCAGGATCTTCACAGGTTCGACCAGGCTGGATGGAAATGCGATTGGTGAGTGAGACCCCGCCCCCGTTTCCTTTGTTCAAACACTCGCACACAAGTTGCTCATCAGTTCTTTTGCTAATTCATCTTCCTGCAGTGGACTTTGTGAGGTGGCTGTGCGCCGTGTCTATGGATGAGCTGGCCTTAACACACCAGCCTCGGATGTTCAGCTTACAGAAGATCGTGGAGATCTCCTACTACAACATGAACCGCATCAGGCTGCAGTGGTCTCGAATCTGGCAGGTCATAGGGGACCATTTTAATAAGGTCAGCAGGTGCAGAGGAGGTAGAGCTTTATGTACTTCCTTCCTTCCTTCCTTTCTTCTTTCCTTTGCTTGCTTCCTCTCTTCCTTCCTTCCTCCCTTATGCCGCACTTTTCAAATATGCAACTCAAAGTGCTTTTCAGGAGTTAAAAAGGGCCTTCACATGCCCATTGTACATTACATACATTTGCAATAGGCCTTATGATAGGCTTTCATGCCTGTCCTCACCTCAAAAAAGGGTCTTCATACGTAAGCCATGAGCCTGTGATAGTCCCTTCAAAGTTGGCATGGACCTTATTAGTAAAAAGGCAAATGACAATTTGATTCTGCAGTTCTGCAATGCACAGTTAAAGATGTCAAATTCGTTATTTTTTCACCTCTGCTCCAATCTTTTGTCCCTCCCTCTAATAAAATGCCATTGGACCAAAAAAAAAAAAAAAGTATAGACACAGTTTAAAAATCCAATCCTGCACTGATGTAAGGTAAATTCTTGCCAATTAATTGTGTGCCTCCTTGATGATAAAAAATTGACTTGCATTTACTTTGTGACGCTATAAAAGCTGATCCATTTTGTGTTTGGGAATGGTTGCTGTTTAGCGAGCAAGCTGTAAGCATTGCAGAGCTAGACTTGCCGCAGTTTTCTTCCCCCATAGCAGTTTAATAATGACACTCTTTTAAGCCTCAATGCCTGTATACAAATTTCAAATTACTCATTGTCTTGAAAAGAAGCATCACCCCTCTTGCATCATCCCTTCGTAGGTTGGCTGTAACCCCAATGAGGATGTCGCCATATTTGCAGTGGACTCACTGAGGCAGCTCTCTATGAAGTTCTTGGAAAAAGGAGAGTTAGCGAATTTCCGTTTCCAAAAAGATTTCCTCAGGCCTTTTGAGCACATCATGAAGAAAAACCGGTAAAGAGCATTGTAATATGATTGCGAATGTATATTTGTCTAGCTAACCACCTTTGTGGATTTATTGGAAATTCTTTCGGGCATTGTCCATGTCAACACGACAGGTCTCCGACGATCAGAGACATGGTGATCAGGTGTGTGGCACAGATGGTCAACTCTCAGGCTGCCAACATCCGTTCGGGCTGGAAGAACATATTCTCGGTATTTCACCAGGCAGCCTCCGACCATGATGAGTCCATAGTGGAACTTGCCTTCCAAACCAGTGGCCATATCGTCAGTGAGTTTCTTCCATTTAGCACAACTGCTGAAACCATTCATTCCTAACCACTGTGTCGCGGCATTTTTGGTGTGCCATAAAAGATAATCAGGTGTGGTGCAGAAAATTGTGCAATTCCACTGAATTGGTTCCAAAATGATTAGCACTAGAAATATTGTAACTTAGTGTCTTTAAATAAAGTTGAGTTGACACTGTAGTTGTATGCTAAAGAGACAGACATCATTCAGGAGAAGACTGAAGGCAGCAAGAAAACTGAGCACTGTAGCAAGGTGGAAACTGTGGAGTGTTTTCTCAACCACAGCAGTTAGAAATACTACCTACCAGTTCGACGCTGCTCTTACATCAAAAGTGATTACAGATGAGTACGTAGTGGATGTCCGAAACTGACAGAATAAAAATGACCGTTTCACTCACTTTTTGTTTATTTATTTAAAAATATTTTCCTCCGCCCTGATTCACTCTTCCTTCCATCAGTGAATACATTCAGGGAGCACTTTGCTGCCGCAATTGATTCCTTCCAAGACGCGGTGAAGTGCCTGTCCGAGTTTGTGTGCAACGCAGCTTTCCCCGACACCAGCATGGAGGCCATCCGACTCATCCGCCATTGCGCCAAATATGTCTCAGAGAGGCCACAGGTAGTTTGCTTGACTCAACTTTTTTGTATAATAAATGTACTGACGTCCTTGTGTCTTATGCAGGCTTTGAGGGAATACACCAGTGATGACATGAACGTGGCCCCCGGCGATCGGGTTTGGGTTCGCGGCTGGTTTCCCATCCTCTTTGAGCTGTCTTGCATCATCAATCGCTGCAAGTTAGATGTGCGGACCAGGTATGAGCTAATGGGTCCTGCGAGAGGTTCTGTTCATATTCGGTATGTTTTACCAGCGTCAAGAAGTAAATTCTCTATACTGGCCTAAAGTTCACAGTGAACCCTTGCCCTCTGTGAGGTTTAGGACCAAGCTGTGATGCGAATCGCAAAAACATGACAATATGTAAGAGCCCCGCATATGCCAAAAACATTTCTTTACTTTTACAGCCATGCACTTTTATTACCATTATTTTTTTAATGCATATTTTGGGACGGCGACGTGTTCTTGTCCATCACGCGGTATTTGCCCAAAATGCAGTAAAATATTGGTTTTGTCCAGGAAATAAGAAACTCTTCCTCTCGCAAGGCATGATTGACTTTTATTGTGCAGAACGTCTGTTTGAAAATTAAAATGCTCATTATATTCTGCCACTATTCGAAATTAATATGTTAAGCATTGTATATTGCTATATAATTCATAAAGTTCTACCATCACTAGTTAGCATTTATTAGCATTACCTGAATTGGAAATGGTTACAATGTTGCCATGACAGTTTGTTAAAATAAATAAATAAATAAAGTGTGAAGCATTAATTGTTTGCTCCTGACAGAGGTCTTACAGTCATGTTTGAGATCATGAAGAGTTACGGCGACACCTTTGAGAAACACTGGTGGCACGATCTCTTCCGAATCGTCTTCCGCATTTTCGACAACATGAAGCTCCCGGAGCAGCAGACAGAGGTTGAGTGTTTCTGTTTTAGTAGCGTCTTAGATGTTTTATTTGGCGTACGGCTTTACTGAGATCTGTTGCTTTCTTGTGTATGTTCAGAAAACCGAGTGGATGACGACAACATGCAACCATGCGCTCTACGCCATCTGTGACGTGTTCACACAGTTTTATGAGCCTCTCAGTGAGATCTTGCTGGTGGACATCTTCACGCAACTCCAGTGGTGTGTGCGGCAAGGTGGGTGTTCAAATCTCGACAGGTGGAATTACCACTAATGGTAGGTAGAAAAAGTATCTACCAATTAGAGGGCGAGCAGTGTTGTGTTTGCACCAAACATACTTTCTCAGACCACTTTATGTGACCATTATAGCATAATGATACATCTTCTCGTGGCCGAAGTTTTTTTTTTTTTTTTTTCTTTTTTCACCGCATTGCATCTCTCCTCTTTTCCTTCAGACAATGAGCAGCTGGCTCGCTCCGGAACCAACTGCCTGGAGAACCTGGTGATTCTCAACGGGGAGAAGTTCAGCCCCGAAGTATGGAACATCACCTGCTCGTGCATGCTGGAGATCTTTCAGAATACCAGCCCTCAAGTGTACGCCAACCAGCCACTAAATTGCATTGGCACAAAAAATCGAAATCTCTTTGCTCAGTGCATCATGTTGTTCTTCCTTTATTAGCTTGTTGACATGGCGACCTGCTGGACAGGAGGATGACGCTGCTGACGCCAAGCACTTAGTAAGGACGTGAACAAAGTATCGTAGAATTTAATTGTGAAATTTGTCAGGCGCGTGACATTTTCAGCAAAGTTGATGAAACTTTTACAGACAAGACATTTTTCCAAGAACCCCTTCATGGTGCTAACAGCAAGATAACTACCGCGTGTGCCGCTAAATGCCTTAGGAATTAAAAAGTTGCCAATTTTTAATTTGTAAAGTCATTTTTATGATAAATTCAGTTTTTAAATACACAAAAGTAATAGACTTAATATGTACGTACTGTAGTTTGCTAGGCACTTTTTTCAAAATGATGGGACAATTTCTTGCAAATGCTTTTACAGGCCCCGTGACATGACTTATGGTCTCAGGGGTCCGTGAGCTCAGTTTGAAAACCACTGAATGAACGTGTATTTCCAGGATGTGGACTTTGACACCCAGTCCCAGAGCAGCTACGATCGAGCTCTTTCGGAGAGAGGACACAGCCAAATGTCCAGCGATGACACCTGGAAGGGCAAGTCCAACACGCGTGAGTACATTGCACCTTCAGACTCTTGCCTCATTTCTTTTCTTGGTACAGTAGAACCTCCAAAGTAGGACCCCTTGGCCAATTAGTGCGGAGAAAACAACATTTCCGGGTATAATATACCTCAAATGTCACACTTTGTCATGTTATTAGATCTTGAATGTTAAATGGTACAACATGTTTGTGTCAAATCCGTCCATTTAACTTCTGTAGTTGTCCTTTTTAATATTCTATCCCCTGTGAAAAGTGTTTTTTCTTCCTCACGGGTCTGTGATGCCTTTCTACCCTCGCAGGAATTTCAGACCACAAGTTATTCGCAGGTCTGCTCATCAAATGCGTGGTGCAGTTGGAGCTAATCCAAACCATCGACAACATTGTCTTCTACCCGTCAACCAGCAAGAAAGAAGACGCCGAAAACATGGCTGCTGCCCAGGTAGGCAGCGGCGCACGAATAACAAAAAGAAACGATGCAAGTCAAGAGTGAACAGCTTGTTGCTTGTGCTGATAAATGACAACGACGCGCACTTGTCGGCAAACAATGCGGCAGCAGTGGCTTTGCTAGACTTTTAGTTACGCTGTAACTGAGGTTGCCGTTTCGACAGCGAGACGCTCTGGAAGAGGCGTCGGCTGACGTTGGTGGTCCGGCTTCTGATCACGGGATGTACAGACACATGACCTCCGCTCACCTCTTCAAGCTGCTGGACTGTCTGCTGGAGTCGCACACCTTCGCCAAAGACTTCAACTCCAACAATGAGCAAAGGACGGCTCTCTGGAGGGCAGGTATGTCAAAGATCTCCGTTATATATTTGTTGATTTGATTTCTTTTCTCCCTTTGTGTTGCTTGCCAAAATTTGAGGACCGAGGTCCTGGACATGCTTTGGGAACACAACTGTACTGGGGGAAGTTGAGTATAATCTTGTCTTCATATGCATGTATGGAAATGTCAAATGTGTTTGTTGACAGGCTTCAAAGGGAAGTCCAAGCCCAACTTGTTGAAGCAGGAAACCAGCAGCCTCGCCTGCAGCCTGAGGATTTTGTTCAGAATGTACTCGGATTCCCAGCTGCAGGACTCGTGGCCTGACATCCAGACGCGCCTGCTACTGTGAGTACAGCACGCTGGACCGCTTAGTAGTTCACAAAGTAGCCATTATGTTTCGTCCTGAAACAACACCGTTAACAGTAATAACCCTTTAAACATTAACCAAAGTGATGTACTAGATGGCGAGACATCTCAAGAAAGAAAAACAAAATCAGTCTTTTCTCATAATACATGACAAATATTCTTGTCAATGATGTCTGCTGTCGAATTGCAGTTTATTAGACAATAAAATGCTTTGTCAATTTACTACGTGCAACTTTTTTCTGAAAAGTGTGACTTCCCATATGACAATTAAAAGAAAAAGGTTTTGGTTCTTAACATCGTAGTTTGTTCCTCGTGACTCTAGTTACATACAACATCAACCTTGTTAGAATATTATGGGATGTGAGTGTCCTCAAATGACGTGTTGTACAGCTTGTCGCTGCTGGTCGAGTGTTAAAGCGATGATGCATAAGAACCAACTGTTTGATTTGCATAAACTGCAGCTTTGCTTTTACCTCATGTTGACCGAGATCTGGTGGTGTATTTTTCTTTTTTTTTTTTGGACCACCTGGCTCATCGTATTTGTATGAACAACAAGCTGCACTGGTGTTATTTGTCACCCAGCTGCTGAGTCATGGAAAACATTTTCACCGATGATGCTGCAGCCGTCACCCACCGCTTAAGTCACTGCAATGGCTGTAATTGTCCTGTAATGTGACACCCCACTCACGATAAAAAAAAAAATAATAATAATAATGACAGATGTTTATTTGAATATTTGATATTAATGTTGTTGCTGCTGCTGCATTGTCAGGGTGTGCAGTGAAGCTCTGGCCTACTTCATCAGCCTTACATCGGAAAGTCACAGAGAGGCTTGGAACAGTCTGCTGATGCTACTGCTCACCAGGACACTCAAGCTGCCTGATAACAAGGCATACACACACACACACACACACACACACACACACACACTCTCTTTCCACATACACACACTGTCACATAGGTCTAAAATGAAATGTTCTAATGTGTGTATGTGCGTGTTTTCTCTATCCCAGTTCAAGCCGCACGCCTCCTGCTACTTTTCGCACCTATGCGAGATGATGCAGTTTGACCTGATTCCCGAGCTGCGGGCCGTCCTGAGGCGCTTCTTCCTGCGCATCGGCGCCGTCTTCCACATCGCCGCCCCAGGGCCGCCGCAGAGAGATGGCCCCTGAAAAACAACACTCAACAACACTCACAACACTAACAACACACACACACACACACACACACACACACACACACACACACACACACACACACAGAAGAAGCTCACTGTGACCAGCAGTCTGCTGACTCATGATTCATCTCATACTGGTCATGACGCCATTACACCAGGGGGTGTAATCGGCCCTACAAAAAACTTGACTAAACCTACTTGGTTCAAGGAACTTTCCACAAGCTCTCTCTTTTGGCCGCCTGTGCCTGTTGGGAAAAGACCATTTGTGAGTCAGCCGCCCCACTCTCCCACTCTCTGCTATCACACTGCGGTGTTCAGCATCGGCTTGTTTACAACAGTGTTGCGTCCCAAGTGTGCTAATGCATTCCTTTTGTGTGGTGACGCCCTAATGGACATAACCATTTCTTCCTATCTCGGCCTCCGCAATTGCATCGACTGGACCTAACAAGGCGGTCGCTCCTCTTCTTTTTGCACATCTGTCGCTGTCATCTTTTGTCCCCAAATGCAGTGTTTGAAGAAAATGATGTTTGTAATTATTTAAAGTGCATTTAAATATTTTTTGAGAATCATTCCTTGCCCTGTCACGATGGATGTCTAATTTTCTTCCCTAAAAACTAGGGAATCTATAAATATATATAAATATATACAGTAAATGCAAAAATGCAGACTGTAACGTTTGCAGTGTAAGATTCAATGTATGATATACAGTACTCTGGAGAGGAAAATGCATCGACGGTTCTATTATGTTGTGATGTTATCTTTGAGCGTTTGAAGTTACCAATAAACTGAAATTCTGATCAGTTTAACATTAAAACCAATCACTTTGTTAAAACGGTTCACCTCAGGTTTGCAAATATCATCTTGTCATCACTGTCAGGCACAAAACGTGTATGTCCAAATATGGTCAGGTTAATATTTTTCCACAAACCAATGTTATTGGTCTGTACCTACATCACTTTTAACTACTTTAAAATGTTGACTCTTTCGAATACTCAACCAAGACGTGTTGTAAAACTCCGCCTCTTCCATCATTTTGCAGGAGCCGTTTTGCATAGAGTCGTCTCAATGTTGAAAGACTGCATGTTTTTAGACGAGTGAAAATAGGTAAGATATATTTGACTTCAGGTTTTTTGTTTTTTAGTGCTACAAAGGTAAGTGCAAGCAAAGTAATTTCTGTTCATTAAACTGCATACTCACCTCATCGTTTCATTTATTGCATCACTCCTGGCTCAAAGACTGATGAGTAAGAGTTGGCAAAGATGATGGAACCAAAGTCGTTTGCATTTGTGAAGTATTAAAGGCGTTTTGTTGGGGTGGCCGGCGTGAGATTTGATGTGAATGGTTGGCAATGGGGCGGCCCGGTGAGCTAGTGGTTAGCGCATTGACCTCACAGTGCATCGATTCCAGCTCCGGCCTTCCTGTGTGGAGTTTGCATGTTCTCCTCGTGCCTGCGGGGGTTTCATCCGGTTACTCCGGTTTCCTCCCATATTCCAAAAACATGCATGACAGGCTGAACACTCTAAATTGTTCCGAGGTGTGACTGTGAGTGTGAATGGTTGTCTATGTGTGCCCTGCGATTGGCTGGCATCCGGTTCAGGGTATCCCTCGCCAGCTGCCCAATGACAGCTGGGATAGGCTCCAGCATGCCCCGCGACCCTTGTGAGGATAAAGTGGTTCAGAAAATGGATGGATGGATGGATGGATGGGTTGGCAATGGCCATGTGTCCAACCATTTGAATCATTGATAGCATAATACAGGAAAAATTGCTGTTTGTTTTACCTTTCTGTACTCAAACCATTTACACCTGTTATACACAAGTAACACTGGTCTCATTACTTATTAGACAGAAATCTATACTATAACCTTCTATCCTGAAATTATTATGAAATTTATTGCTGATAAGGTCATTCAATAGACCTGTCATTCAAAACAAAAATAAATATTTTTTACAAGCAATGCTTAGGTGAGTGACGATGCAATCATAACTACATTACTTAAATGCAAAAAAATGTACGTATACATTAGATATATTTTTAAATTAATCGTATGATTAATCTGTAATCGGAATGTTTTTCCGCTAAAATCTTGATGGACCTCGGAAAAATACATTGCAGGCTCTGCTTGATTAGACCTCTCAACTTTTAAATACACTTCCACCTGTTCGTTTAAGTCCAGTGCAAAAATCTGCAACAATTGCTTGATCTTTCATTTAACAAATATGTTTACCGGTGCATTTAGAATCGGCATTCAAAAAGGACTCTTATTCACAGCCTGATGTTAGGAGACACGACAATACTCAACGCTTGATCAACAGTACAAAGGATGTTCTCATCAGCATGTTGGAACAAAGAGACTGGTGAAGTTACAAAAAGACAAACGGATCATAGTCCTCAAAGCTCCCTTTGTTTAACTGAACAGTGAGAAGTGCAATTTAAAAATTCAGAAAAGGTCAAATTTGGTTCACCTTTAGTTAAAGGTTATAGTGCATCACGAATTTTAAAAGTGAATATTTGCAACATACTGTATTTATTTATGTTAAAACGTATTTCAAACAAGTATTCATTTAATGCTTTGGATGGCAAAAAGAGCACACAACAACAAACAACCAACGTCTGCCTTTGCTAAAGTCCAAATAAGAGCGTGACATCAACGGTCAGGCAATGACGTCAATGTTACGCGTAAAAGCGATCAAAGATTTCTACGATGACGCCACAGCACAATAATCGACACATAGGGAAGTCTCATCAACGCTCCGCTGTCCGCATCACATTCACTCGGCAGTCCACCTGGCTTGGAAGCGGATGAGCTTATACCCGTCTGCAGCGATGGCTGTTTGAAAGTGCTCTATAAATACAGTTGAGTAAGTAGCAACTAAACTTGGATGTTTCGCGAACATGTGTGATTGACTTTATTAGGAGAAGGTTCGCAATTTTGTGTCTGCGTGTGGTGGTTGTGTATTCCTTTAGCTTTTTGAAACGGCTGCTGCGGTCTCAAAACACTTTACATATAACGTTAACACAACAACAAACGAAACTGAAAATAGTAAGTAAACACAGATTAACTATCCATACTATCCAGATTAACACCATACCGTAGACAATAGAAAACAATAGAACAGTGTTACTCATGTTGCGACGAAAGTCAAGGAATAAAGATGTCTTCAGATGAGTTTTAAAAATGGACAGGAAGAGGGTCTGTCTTACATTTAACAGAAGGTAATTTATTATGTGCAGAATGTGGCCTTTAATTGTTTTACAAATTAATTAGACTACAGTTAACAATTTAGGAACTTGTAACCCCCAGTATATGTGCACATATGCAGTTGCATAGCTACTATCCTCTTGGCAGATATGTTAATATTTTAACAAACGGATTGTTGCCATTTTTATATGTTCTACATTGTTAAATAAAGTAGAAAATGATTGGGGGGGGGACTTTCGGGCGACAATGTCCACCTCAAAATCTCCTCCTGTACTGATGGAGATGGATGCAAAAGCGGAAGTGGCCACCTGGGGGCGTGCTGGGCCTGCGTGAAGGGTCTTGGTACGCGGAACCTGCTGCCACAACGAGCCAGTAGCCTAATAGCCGAGCTCGACGGGCTAGCAATGACTGGATTGTTCCTTTCGCGTGTTTTCTCCAAGCCGCGGGGACCAGGCATGGTTCTGTGGAAACCGCCGTACAAGTAAGAGCTTCCTGGTTTGTATAAAATCGACATAACGTTTGTTCGGCGGTTGTGCATAACAGATCGAGCCTACGGTTCCTCTAGTCTAGTTAGCTGAGGACGGAGGTCAATCGAATTTGAAGTGTATGACAAAATTATTTTGCCTACGTCTTGGGTTTTCTTCCGAATTGAACTCAGTTCTGTTGGCTTTAAAGAGAATGGATATCAACGAATGAGCATTTGGACTCAGACGGCAGTGTTCACGGAGCTCATTTAGAGCTGGCGTCGTAATGTGAGTATTATTCGTTAAAATGTGTGAAGTACAAATGGCTTGGACTCGCTTTTGGGCGGTATCTCCTCCTGTGCTTTTACTTTAAATACGGTACGTCGTGTTCTCGCTCAGCTAGCGCTGCTTTCAAGACCCCATTAAACCCGTTTACCCAAATAGGAAATTCCAGTCGTCTTCCGGTCTTTTTCACTTTCAAACAGCACTGCCTTTTTATTTTTATTTTTTTAATTACGTGAATACCACAACCAGCGGCAGATTAAAATAGTCTAAAAGGGGATCTCGTTTTTAAAATTAGACAGGCATGATATATTTGATGACGTCAACAACCAACAAAAACGATTTCAGCTGCGTCTGCCTTGAATTTCATGATAATTGGGAGACTCTCCACAGGCTCCTGAAAGCGTCCTGTTGCGTAATAGCAGCCATGTGGGCGTGTCTGTGGATGGGGAGGGTGAGCAGGCTGATTGCTTGTAACGTACACGCGCGCCCCTCCACACAAAGTGCACGTTTCCATCAAGCGTCGCTCTTTCCCCAACACTCAATATAGTTTGGCAGACGGATAGTTTGGCAGACGCGCAGGGACCAAGTCGTCGCCTTTGTAACAAACTGCTGGTAAGACGCCATTTTTCCTTCCCGCACACTTGTGCTCACACGTGTGTGTTGTTGCGACTCAATTCAGCTTTTTGGATGCCAATCAAATGGATGCTGATGAGGACCTGGTTGGCAACTCTGTGACGTAACAAAGAGCAGGCCAGCCAGTTGTTAACGCAGGACTAAGCGAGCTAAAGACAGCATTTGTAATACCCCGGGAGCAAAATGTGTCGTCCAGGTGCCACATTTGCGGGGCACAAGTGAGCTCGCGTGCTGCCCTGGTGTTTACGTGTGGTACGTGGCTAGCCCAGCCACGTGGTGCGCGGAGCTTGGGAACATGTGGCCACTGTAAACACTGTATGGTCCCCTCGGCCTGCCGCGGGCTCGCTTTTCCTCGTGCATCTTACGTACCAACACACTTGTTCTTAACGACCCAAAGAATAATCGAATTGCAGACTTGGACATTTTATTTTTGGTATTTTAATCCGCTTGCTTTATACACGGATGTCGTTCTTAGTTTCCGCTGCGCGATGCAAAAGCTGTTACCTGAATATGGCCTTTCATAAAACTACCCAGCAATTTTTAATTAACGCGTGTATATGTATTTTTTTATTATTGCGTTACTGTGCGGTCGTCTAACTGCACTGCTTTGAGAGCCGATCACGTCCTGTGCCCCCACAAAATTGTAATTTCACATTTGTCAAAAAGTGACCGCGACACAGGCAAAACACGTTTTGCGTTCCTCTCCCTTACTCTGAAGAGAGTCCTAATAGTTTTGGCGTTTCCATTGTGGTTAGTTTTTATTTCGTTTTGTTTTTACAATTTTTAGTTTTCTTTAAGTTACTGTATTTTAAATAAAATGTTTCGTTGTAGTTTAGTCTTTATTTTATTAACAGTTTGTTATATTGCCAATGCATTAGAGTGCAAGATATTTTTTTAAAAAAAGGTTAATATTGTGTAATTTTAATGTCTATTTTATTAGCAGTTTGTTTCATTGCCAATGTATTAAGAGTGCAAGATTTAAAAATAAAGGTTAATATTGTGTAGTTCAGTAAATCAAACCACAATACCCAACCTTGCTCCTGTACAGACGTACAACACAACTGAAATAAATTTTAAAGGAACCTATAAAGCTCATGTAGTATTGACAGATAAAAGTGCTGTAATGTTAATTTTTGTTCGCCTTATAAACTTAAGATGTATTTTCAGTTGGTTGTCATGAAAGCATTTTCGTTTTTATTAACAGAATGTCCCCCCAGCATTACCTTCCTGAGAAATATTTTTTTAAATAAGTGCTTCCTTTTGCAAATGTCTCCAAATTAAAAAGTTTACATGTTAAACAAGTTAACATCAGAACGGATGGATTGGGTTTTGAATGGAAAATGAGCCGACAACCTGCACGGCTGGGCTGATCAGTATGTCTGTTGTCCAAGCAACGCCTCCCTCCAGGGCTCACACACTTTTGTCACGTAGAGCTGTGCAGGTGAGGCATGACAACATCTGAGAAATACTTTCAGCGTGGGAGTGTACAGGTCAGGTCACAAGTTTCCAACATGTTGATCAATGCCTGCTTTTGCAATGGATACGGTCGAGCCTGTCTTTGGCAATATTCTGTGCAATTGACTCAGAAATCCTAAAAGCTCAAAAGAGGTTGAGTTTTTGGGATTTTTGAGGTGCATAATTGATGTGTCATTTCTCCTCCCATGTAGCTGACAGGTAACCAAAACATTTAGAACAGGCTTCCATTATGGTACAATGACAACTACAGCCGCAAGATTGAACTTAATACATTTCAACCTCAAAATATATTACTATGTCAAGGCATCGTAATGAATACCTCTTTTATGGGATGGCATTGCACAATGTTTTGGATGGTGACCTCTCTTGGTTTACTCCACCTGTCTTATCAGACCTTTAATGCCATTGTGCGGATTGATAGTAAGGCATAGTTTTTGCATGATAGCCAGCAGAAGGTCTTAGGGGAGTTTGCTGGTGTTCCTCCCTCCCTTGTGCCCACAAGCCACTGTGACAGCAGCGGCACAAAATGCGGGAGGCTTCCCCCCCACCCCCTTCTTTGTTGTAAAATCCCACCTTACCTTTAATTAACTAACCTGCGTTATTGACAGGACTGCAATCCAGCACTGTCTTATTTACCCAGTCGTGTTGTTATGATAATACACATGGCAATTATGACACCATCCCACCAGATACATGAAGTGAAGGCGTGATGCTCATCTGATGTCTGCCAAGTGCCATTTTGGTTTTGAGACCGCGCCAGCAGACAGATGAGACGTTGACGAGAGCTGGCGCTTCCTATTAATGTTATGATTCAGACCTAATAAGCCACCAGCAGCTGCCAACATTGATAACAACATTGGAGCTTGCGCTTTGTGCCTTTCAATTTAATTTTGGCCGCTTATCTGCAAGGTGAGACCCAAGTGAAAAGCGAAAGGTTGGAGTTCACGTGAGCGGTTGACAGAGCGTCAAGACTCAGTCACCTAAACCTCACCTTCACCAGCCTACCGCTCCCTTTGTCTTCCTCATCCTCCTCTCTTTGTCTGTCTTTCTCACACAAACACACGCACGCGAGCGTCTCATTAATTGAACTACCATCTGCTCCATATGTACCATCCCAATTAGAGGGATTGACCTTTCACCCCACCTGTCTAAATCTAATATGAGAGGTGGGACTACATCTTCACACATGCGCAGATACACTCGCAGTATAAGCTGTCCAGACTTTGAGTCGTACGTTTTGTGTCTCTACAGGGTCTGAACTGGTTTGTCAGCCTTGTGTTGTTTTTCGGTTCCACCCCCTCAAGTGTCCTCTGGACCTCGGCTGGCCATGTTGGTCTGAAGAAAGGGAGGTGTTGCGTGCGTGCGTGTTCACTCGAAGAGACCCGGAGCGAAGAGAAGAAGCGCTTTTTCCAAGATCGATTTCAATATGTCTCAAAATCGAGAACTGGTTTTGTTTTACATTAGGTACAAACTTTCCCAGAAAAACTACCCGCTCAACCACATAGGACTCAGACAGGCATTGAACAGGACTGATGGCAGGGAGGAAGCCTCAGGCGAGGAGGAGCAGCGGGTACAGACGCCTGCCAATGGGACGACCAACGGCACCAGTCCCCCGGCGTCGCCGCTACGAGAGGCGGCGAGCCTGGACGCGGTGAAGGAGGCCCTGCGGGACTCGGCCAATGAGTTTGAGTTGCGCTACTCCCACGCCTTCAGCGACCTGGACAAACAGCTGCACATTACACCGGCCACTGCCTACCAAAGCTTTGAGAACGTTGTGGATGAGGTGTTCCAGGACGACGTCAACTGGGGCCGCATCGTGGGGCTCTTCGCGTTCGGCGGCGCGCTGTGCGTCGAATGCATGGAGAAGGAGATGATCCCCCTGGTTGACAGGATCATCGAGTGGATGACGGTGTACCTGGACAACCACCTTCAGCCCTGGATAGAGAGCCAAGGAGGATGGGTGAGTCTAAAATACGTGCACGTCAGTCACCAAATTGCTATGATTGCCGTTTAGCATCGTAACGGCATAGGCGAGTCGGTAATGTGAATAGCGCGATAACAAAGCAGCATGACCAATTGACGTGCCAAAGAACTCCACCAAGATGTCCTACACTTAACATTTTGCATAGCTGGCCAGAAACACAGCTTTTCACAATGGGAAAGCAAAATGAGTCACTTGTGAACTCTACTTTTGTGTAAGCCAGACTTCATTCAGTTTTATTTTTACAGCACAAAACCGACTTGGGTTTGGTTCTGATGTAATCAGCTCAAGTTACTGCGTGTGGGTTTCTTTTTACCCTATTAAAATCGAATCTGGAAAACCTTTTTACCCTGTTAAAATCGAATCTGGAAAACCATGCTGTGCTGAGCACATCTGTCACGAGACACACTAAAAACACTACAGTTGTCCAGATCTGACCGATCAATCGGTAATTGTGGCTGATCACTTAATTGAGCAAAGTCTGCAAAGCCACCCTGCCAGGAGGGGAAAGTGTGACAAAACAGCTCACTGCCCGAGCGACATTGCAAGAATTCAAAGAGGGACGGGTTAACAAATATGACTCATTGGAATGACTTGGTTTCAAGTAGAAGTCTGACTAGTGGGACTTAATTTGTCACAAACAAATGTGTTGCATTTGGCAGGGCGATAAATAAGGTTGCTCGTCGATGAGCGAAGTCCCACGCTTGCAGCTGCATATGATTGTCATTATACATTTAATTAAGACGCACGATTCTAAGCAACGCTGGATTATAAATATATTCTTCACGATGGAGACATCATAAGCATATACTTTGTAATACATGGTTGATGTACAGTATGTATTCGTGTTCTATCAGCCAGTACCCACTGAGGACTCAAGTTCGAATCATGTTCACAAAACCTCATCGGGACATCTCTAAAAAAAAAACACCCAGGAGACTCCTCACTATCCATATTGTTGTAGTTCGACATTAAATGAGGCAACTTTGCATGACTAACAATGGTTTGCTTCGCAAACTTAAGGGGTTCTCGAAAGTCATGTTGAGAAAGAGTACGTCGTATTACCGAGCAGTTGCCAGTGGAAAATCACAAATGGCACGTAGATCTTCGCCGAGCAAAATGGGGGGTGCCGTTGAGTTGAAAAAAAGGGGGGGTTGCGTAAAATGGCTTTGCGTTCAGTTACATGCTCAAGTTTCTAACTTCTTTCTCCACACGTGTGATGTGATGCTTTTGATGTGATGCTTTTCAATACCACGGCCTGACTTTTTAAATTCGCTGTGGAATGTTTTTTTCCCCCCAGCGTTTGGATTCTTTCACTGCTGAAGGAGTTGTTTGTTATTGATAAAGAAGTCATGCCAACATTTTTGCGATATCTTTTGCAGTGCACTTGGGACGTGACGTGAAAGTGGGGGATGTCATGAGATAGGCACGGGAGACTTGAGACTAGATAGAATGGTTTTGACACAGGCGCTGATTGTGCACAAACAATGGTCAAATTGCTGGTTTTGTGGTCGGCAGCTGGCTCAGCTGTTGGCTAATTGATCAACAAGTAGACGCTCGATGAACTCAATGGTTAATGGGCAACATCGGGCTTTGGAGCTGCCCTCCAGCCTGCGGACTGAGTTGTCTCATCACTGGGTGGGGAAGATTCCAGGCTATCACAGATAGTCCTTTGTTTTACTGCGGCCACTCGTTTGGTTCCTGGCCATGATTTTTTTTTCCTTTTTTTGCGCACACTGTGTTCTCTCCTCCCTTGCCCTGGCCTCTCCTCTCTATAGTGAGTGCGTGTTCACGGCAGCTGCTTGCACATGAAAGCTACGTTTTTCTCGCAACGGGTTGGCTAGACCCAGGCCGTCCCAGTACAGTCTGACCCGTGGTGTGTGTGCGCGCGTGCTCTGCAGGACCGTTAAGGTCAGCTTTCTTTTGTGCCAGCCATTTGATGGTATGAAGGCGAACGCAAGCCAAGGGGAGGGACTGTTGTTTATGTCCACTCTGGTGTTCTGTATAGCGGCAGGTCAGAGGCCGGTGCTATGGCAACTGCCGTCCCAGCGGCTGCGTCGCGCACCTAGAACGAAATCTCAACAGGGCAGGCCACAGCTTTTGTTTGCACCGACAGACGCGAGGGTTGGACGATGGTGGCGGAAAAAAAATACTGATTGATATGCATCACTATTAACTCATTCACTCTCAAAGATGTGTTTAGATGTCTTTTCAGGCGCCACACATTTAATCCCAGCTCCTCATTTTATATTGACTGTACTTGAAAAGGGTCTGAAAATGGCTGGCGTCTGAAAAGACATCTAAATGCGTCTTTGGGAGTGAATGAGTTAAATGATTATTCATTGATTTAAAAACTTGATATTTACTGAACTATCCAAAAACTATCATCCCTTCACATTGAACCCTCTAGCCTTCACATCAATTACAAAATGACCTTGTACACATGATGTGAAATTCAAGCCTTGCGTTTTCATGACGCAACATCCTCGCCTTTGATCGGCTGCATCTTTGCACACAGTGAAGCATTACCCTTATTCGTTTAACGTATTTATTTTATCTCCACGAGTCTTGGGACTTACTGGGCTAACCTAGGATCTTTGTATCCCTGAATTTTGAGGAAAGGCAAATTTCTTTGAGTCTTTGAAAACTGGCCTTTAAATAAATTATTACTATAATCTGTCACTATAAATTAAATGTGTAAAAAAAGTAACAAGAATGAAAATGATCGTCCCAAAAAAAGCTCCTTCAGTTTGTGAAACATACTTGGAGGGATCTAAGTAATATCTCCACCTACCTGACTTTTGACTGCATTTTGAGTCAGTCAGCCAGATGTGGACTTTGACTTATTTTGTCCCTCCTGTCACATGCGCCCACCTCACTGATGGGGAGTTACAAACTCATGCAAATGATTTCATTTCAGGGGTGGAACTGAATGTTGTGTTTAACTAAGGAGGTAGCCGATTTAAGCCGATGTATCAAGCATCATGAGGTGTTGAAGACAAAAAAACAAAACAATTTTTGTCAAAGTATGACTTGCACATTATTTTAAGAAGGTGACGTTCTCCAAACACACCCTGTCACACTTATCCCTGCCGTGTGCATGTCATCAAGTGGGAACTAGCATCAGCCCGTTTGCGTGTCAGCGTAACCTGGACTGGGAGAAGCGCATGAATGGCATCTTAAAAACTTGAATGGCTCAGCGTCTCTGCTTTCACTTCTGCTGACGATGGCCAGCATGGCCTGGAGCGCATGGTGCCACTTCCGCCGAACCCACACCACACTGCACTCCTCCTTATGTGGCTTTTTTATTGCGCTGCACACACAGCATACGGGTGTGACCCGTGTTGGTAATTCATGAGCACAGGACGGTCCCAGACAGCATAGATGGAAATTTGAGTGTGTCTACCGCGAGAGTCTTGTCGCATCGTCACATTGTTGATATTTTTGTCTTCTCAACAGCCAGCCTGTCTCACTTCTTCTTTTTTGCGGTCTCAACTGCTCAAAGTTAAAAGCCCCTAGATTCCCCGAAAGTGGCCCGTTGCAAAACCCACGTGAGACACATTTTCTTGCGCTGCTTTTTTTTTTTTTTCATAGCTCTTGCAACCTGCCTTCCTTTCCCCCCGGCACCTCCTTGCAGGGTTATGCCGCCAGCAGATGTTGGATCATCGCCGTGAGGCAGGTGTGCCCTCCTCAATGCTAGCTGATGAAATATTTGTGTAGTCGGCAGCACTCCCGTTTCTCAGTCACTTAAAAGAATTTGGGCACGCAATTATAAAATGATGGCGAGATCGAAGTGGGGAACCCGTTGACAGATAATGAGCGACACTCCAATCATCTAAAAAGTCTCGACATCCACTTTTAGACAGCTTAATGTTATGCTGGATGTCAACAAGTCAAGATTTGAGTTAAGACAGGTTTTCCCTGCTGTATTTGTTCTCATGTAAGTGCATGGTTGGACCGTATAGTAAAATTAGATGTATTTTGCAGGATGTATGTGATTCCTTGAAGTCGAATTTCTCTTAGCCCATATCCCCAAAATGTCACATAATCCATTACTGGGCTGCTCAAATGTCCAAAATATGCAACCGGCTTCATTCACATCATTGCTAAAATATTTGTCTCACTTTTTTAAACACAGGAAATCAGACTGGTGAGAACAAACAGGCATTTTCTTCCCACTTTGGTCACAGCTCACAATAATAATGAAAAAAATAATTTAGTCAAGGTGGCCCATTTCAATATGACATTGTCAAAATGACCTGCTTAAACAACTGGAAGGAAAACGCTGTAATACGCTTCCCGCTGCTCGTCCTAGGGCATATCCGGCGGGGTATGTTTAAAACATTTGACAAAGCAACCAGTGCGTCTCCACTGGTTACCATAGCAGAGTAAAGGCACATTTATTTTCCTGGAGAAACCTTTTCCTCGCCATGTATTGCCGAGCTAAAATCTGGTTCGGGATTTCATCAGAGTAGTACGAGGTTGCACTGTTGCTGTACTAAACCGATGCGTGCAGAGAATGCTTATTACGTTTATTTCATGTAATTATACCAGGGTTGGAATAAGTTGATTCACATCGCACCTGCCGCCTCAATTAAACAGTGAAACACAAAACTGACAATTGGCATTTATTTGCCAAAACATAACAGCCAAATGTTCCGGAACTCCTTGAACGCTAACTGGTTACACTCGTAACATGTCGTGTTTGTTGGGAATTTTTAAAACAATTAAAAAATGTCAGAGTGGCAGTTGCTACCAGGGTCTTGTTTTCCCTCTGTTCCCTCCTTGTGGGACTCGGGAGGCGGGCAGCGAAGCAGCCCCGATGGGTTCCTCTTAACCGATGGGGGAAGAGAGCCCCCATTCCTGTGAGCCCGTTTGCCTGTCTGCCCCCCCCCCCCGACAATCTTTACAAAAGGCAAGTATTTTAATGTAGGCCACTTTGTTCTGCTTTTGAAATCAGGTCGTTAGCCTACCAATAT